AAGATGGATAGAAAAGTTTGGTTTCTAAGAGGTTGAGAAAAATAAAAAAGATTGAAAAAAGAAAGAAAAATGTGAAAAAGAAAAAGAAAAGTCTTTAAAAAGAAAAAAAATAGCAAATAATTATGCTAATAAGTTATGTGAAATGGTTTAACAATTGGGAACAAAGAAAAAGGTGAATGAAGTTGTGAATGATTAAGAAATTGAGAAATGATCATTCTCATTTATTTAGGAAAAAATTTTATTTCAATTACCTTTAGATATGACCCTTGTTTGTTAACCATGCCCCATCACAACCCTTGAAAGTCCTTATTGATTTGTGCTTTTATGCTTTCAATACGAGTTTTTTTAGAAGAATACATAATTTAGTCTGTTGTTAGGTGTGAGTAAAATTCCTCATGTTTGTTTTTATTTCATAAATTTATGAAGTTGTGTGCTATGTGTGATTCAATTTTGAGCATGTTTTGTTTTATAATATTTGACATGAATTTTGTGTTTAGAATTTGTTTTATAATCATGGTGTAGTTGTAGTATAGTGGTAAGAATGACTTTACTTGCGATTTGAACATTTTTGAACCATGCAAGAGCTTGTTGATCATGAAATGCTTTGGATGTTGCTTTTGATTATTTGAGTTGGTGAGACTTTTGTTTGAGGACAAACAAAGTTTTAAGTTGGGGAAAGTTTGATGAGTGTCAAATGTATGTATTTTTCCACTTGTAAACTTGGAACTTTTTGGCTCCTTTTTGCGTGTTTAATTATGAATTACCCAAGTTTTGTTTTGTGTATAGATTTAATTGTATTTGGTTGTGGTCTCTTTGATATGTGTGTTATTTGTGCAGAAAACATGAAAAATGGTGCCACAAACCAAGGAAGAAATTTTACAAAGCAAAGCTGAAGAGAGTTGTTGTCTGAGAAAATTCAACGGGCGAGTCAAGAGCGAGAGCGAAGAGATTTCCTAACTCTGAGGTAGCTGGGTGAGGGTGAAGCAAGCCATTTCATATGGAATTCAGTAGCTTTTGTGTTGCATTGTGGGCTTGTTCGCTTTGTGTTTGCTATGCGAGCTAGTAGCAAGGAATTCGCCAGGCGAAACTTCTGTTAGCTGGGAAAATTCAGATATTTTGTTCTAGTTTTGAGTGTTTTACGCAACTGGTGTGAAGGGAAAGTGGAAATTCTCATATCTTGTATATATAGTGTAAAAATAGATTTTTTAGGGATCCATCATTTTTAGAGAGGTGTGATCACCATTATTTGAGTAGAAAGGTTTATAAAACAACATTAGAGGTTGCATCTTGATGATCTGGAGTTGGATTTGCATCAATCGTCTTGACACCGCGAGATTTGTTGGTTCATCTTCTTTCTTCTCTTTGTATTCTTATTTATTGGGTTTTTTTGTAACTTTACTTTGATTTTATGTTTATGTATTGATCATGACATTGTATAAGATCTATTATATCAATGTTATCCTTGTTTACTTGCTTTATGTTTGGATTTGAGTTGTTATAGACATATACTCTTCAAACCTGGATTTATGATGAACATCTATTAGGTTCTAAACTATAGAAATAGATTTAGATCTAATATTCCTAGTGGGTATTGATTCATAATGCTTTGTGTTGTTTAGTTGCGTGAGACATCACCGATGAGACAATACAGTAGAACTCTTGCTGATGCTTCAAATATGTACACTGATGTGAGGGACGCGTGATGATATTAATGAGGGTTTCGTACAACTGATCAGTATATTTAAGCATTTGATGGGTAGATAAAATCTAATCCCGACGAGTTCTCTCCTCTCTAAAGAATTCATAATTTACTTATTCATATGTTTTACTTTCCACATTTTATGATTTTAAACCATTCAAACCAAGCTTAGAAACATAGAGACTATTCAACAATATTTAATCCCTTGCACTGATCCCTGTGAATGCGATAAAACCCGAAATACTGCCAACTTACCTTTTGCTTCTGGCCACTATGTTGCAGTTTGAACAATACCTGGCCACCAAAACATTTTCTTAAGATCTTGATACATCTTAGTAGCTCCGGGTGAATACTCAAACTACTTCTGTGAATTTTCTGAAGAATTCACTTCTTAAACTCTGGCAATTCTAACACACAAACTCTATCCCGAAATCTCATTATTTCATTCTCATCTACTCTGAAGTCCACCTCTTTACCTTGATTGATTAATACTAGTTGGTCAACCAATCCTACGTCCAACTTCTAACCTTCTTTGATTTCTTCCATCACACTACTCGTTAACCTTCACACTATCTAGTGTTATATCACACACCAAGATAATATCTATTAACTGTTCAATCAATTCCAATTCTCTAACCATAAGCGCTGACATATGAAAGGACTTCCTACTCAAAGCACCGCCACCATATTAGCTTTACTAGGATGGTAACTAAACTCAAAATAATAGTCCTTTAAAACTCTAGCCACCTTCTCTGTCTTTTATTCAGGTTCTTCTGACCGAACATATAGTTTAAACTCTTATGATTGTTGAACACCTCAAACCTTGAGCCATACAGATAATGTATCCAAACTTTTAGCATAAAGACTACTGCTGCCAACTCCAAATCATGGGTAGGTTAATTCATCTCACGATTCTTATGTTGCTTTAAAGCATACACTACAATCTGACCATTCTATATAAGCACACCATCTAAGCTCATCTTAGATGCGTCACAATACATATAAAAGGATTCCTTTTCATATAGAATATCAAAACTGGTGCCAATGTCAACCTCTTCTTCAGCTTTTGAAAGCTCTCTTCACACTGAACACTCCATACATAAGCTTTAAGGTGCAAGAAACATAAGAAATATGGGGTTTGAATTGGGTTACAAGAAATAAAATCTATTTCAAAACCAATAACACAAGAATAAAAATAAATGAAGACAATTATTTTTATCCTGGTTCACTGTTAATGAAGTTAATCCAACCCACCCACCATGGTAATTTTCCTCTCTCAATCAAGGACTTAATCCACTATAACCAAACTGATTACAATCCATGAAGACAAACTGTCAATATCTTCTTGAGAATCCTGACTAAATCACTAGTCTCTCAAGGAACACAACCTCAAAGACAAACTATCAATGACTTCTTGAGTATACAAACTAAAACTTAGTCACTCAAGGAACAAAACCTTAAAGACAAACCGTCAATGACTTCTTGATTATACAGACTAACACTTAGTCACTCAAGGAATAATACCTCAAAGACAAACTGTGAATGACTTCTTGAGTATACAGACTAACACTTAGTCACTCAAGAAACAATCAACTCACTGTTGAATACAGGTTTTTGTGTTTACAAGATTGCTTCTCAAAAGTAGATTACACTAGATTGAAGAACAAATAATAACACAACAATGTTAAGAAAGTTAGCAAACAAAAATTACTTTCTAGCAAGTTAACAAACAAAAGTTCCTTGCTTCACAAAAATTACACAGTTATTTTGGCAGAGTTTTAATTTGAATCAGCGTGAGTTTCTTCAAAGTTGTTCAACGATTCCAATTCTTCCAAGTCTTCCTTTTTTAGATGAAAAGAAATTCGTAGGGAAAATAACATAGTACAATCATTGCACCACAAAACCAAGGTAGTGGGAGAATTTGACATTGTACTATATCTTCACGTGACACCTTTTGATCTTATCTTCTAATATTCAGAGGCTTCAGAGTATGTAAGAGTTGAAGTATGCTTAGAAGCACCAAAACCAGTCTTCAGAATCTTGGTCTTCAGAATCTTCATAACTGGTTCAACTAAACCTTGTCTTTAGCATGTTGGTCTTCAAAACTATGTCTTCAGAATACTCATAACTCTTTCAACATAACCTCATCTTTAGAATCTTCAGAACCTTGGAGCAAGAGAGTCTGGAATCTTTAGAGCTTGAGAAACCTTCAGAAGCTCTACTATAGAGTCACCGATAGAAGAAATAAAACTAACGTTCATCAAAATTGTTATTTTAAGAAGAATTTTAAGCAATGATACACGCGTTGTATCACTTAATGTGTTGAGTCTAGTATTTGATGACGTTACACGTCACTTCCTCAGAGTCAGAACCTGTTAGCAAAATCTACATACTAAGCAAACCATTAAGGTACTAAATTGTTATCTAATCACCCATGTAATGTTATCATCAAAACTTAAGGCCAAATGCAGAACCAAATCTTGTTCTTACAATCGCCCTCTTTTTGATGATGACAAAATCGTGTATTATGATAAATAATTTATACCGATTTAATAACATAAAACAATTTCATAGTTAGCTAAATAGCTCTCTTGAGTTCTATATTCCTAATACTTGCTTAATCTTGTTTAGAGTCTCCCCCTGAGTTCAAGACTTAAAGAAGTTTTAAGAAAATAACACGAATCAATCAGAGTGAAGGAATACTTCCTTGACTGAAGAAATATCACACATCTGACTAGCGATGCAGAAATCTTTGTCTCAGATTCTGGCTTGCTATCAGAGTTTGATGAGGTGTCAGACATGGTTTACAATCAGAGTCTAAATAGTGTTGTAGAAATCTTCATCTCATATTCTGGCTTTACTTTCAGAACACTATGGTACACAAAGTCTTGTAGACTTTTTCATATCATCATCAGATTCTGGTTGATGGTATCAGAACCTTGTACCAAAGTATGGTTGAAAATTATTTCACAAAGAATAAATAACCCATGACTTCTGAATCTATAGAAAGAATCTCCTTCAGAAATTCTGAGTTTTCATATTAAGAAAAATTTAGTGAACTTTCACAAAGTTCCTAAGTTAAACCGCGTTAGTGAAAAAAACATTGGAATATGTTTGTGAATAAGATTATGAGAATAGACATATCAAAATCATATCATTTTCTCCCCCTTTGTCATAAATCAAAAATATTTAAAGAGACAAAAGTAAACATTTTATTAACCAAAGACGAGTTTTACAAAAGTTTTAGAAACACAAAAAAAATAATTGTAGTGTTCTAAAAAGCAATTGTAAAAATAAAGGTCTAAGGGTTTGGTGGAGGAGCAAGCATAATCCTAGCCATAAAATCCTTCATCATATTGGCATGCAAAGTGATAAAACTATCATGAAAATCAACTCTTTCATCTGGCTTGTCCAAATGAGTTTGGATTAACTCATTGGTCTTCTTCAACTCATCCAAAGTTTCCGTAATCTTGGAAGGATTCTCTTCAACAATATTTTTCAACAACCCAGAAGACGAACCGTCTTCAACAACAGACTTCCCAGAAACAAGCAACTCAGAAGTAGCAACATCTGAAGGTTGAGCATCCATAGAAGAAGCAACAAATTCTTTTGGAATCTCTAATTCTGGAGTAGGCAAGCAGAAGTGAAGAGGAGTAGGTGCTTGAGAAGTAAGCCATGCCTTGTGCTTCTTCGTAGCTTCCAAATGATAGAAAGCTTGAATGATGTTGGAGTAATCTTTCATCCACTTTCTAAAGCCATTCCAGATAGAGACAACCCTAGCAGGATCTATACTTACAAAAGAACTCTCCAAAGAACATTTAAGAGTGTCCTGAGCATACCATTCAAAGTAATGCATCATCTCATCCAAGGGTATGTGACAATTATCGGTTTTATGGAAAGGATGATGGGGTTTGGAATGATAGGGGCAAGAAGTTCTATCTGATACATCATAGAAACTTAAATATTCTTCTTTATACACAAAGTCTTTAGAAGAAGTATTTTGAGCTTCAATATTCTGAGGTTCAGGTTGATTAGAGGATTAAATAAGGCTCTGTGTTAGATTTCTTCCTCCCTTGATATCTAGTTGAAATCGTTGTGTTAGATTTCTTCCTCCTTGGATATCTGATCGAGATTGCTTTGTTAGATCTCTTCCATATTCGATATCTTTGGTTGAGTCTACTGTGTTAGGTCTCTTCCTTCTTTGATATCTTCAGTTGAAATCGTTATGTTAGATTTCTTCCTTCTGTGACATCTGGTCGAGATCGCTTTGTTAGATATCTTCCATCTTTGATATCTTCGGTTGAGTCTGCTGTGTTATGTCTCTTCCTTATTTGATATCTTTGGTTGAAATCATTGTGTTAGATTTCTTCCTTCCTTGATGTCTGGTCGAGATTTCTTTGTTAGATCTCTTTCATCCCTTGTTATCTTTAGGACGAGTCCGCTGCGTTAGGTCTCTTCCTTCTTTGATATCTTTGGTTGAAATTGTTGTGTTAGATTTCTTCTTTGCGTGATATCTCTGGTCGAGTTTTCTTTGTTAGAGATCTTCCATCTTCAATATTTTCTATTGAGTGTCGCTTTCTTAGATCTCTTCCATCTTCGATATCTTCGGTCGAGTCTGTTGTGTTAGGTCTCGTCCTTCTTTGATATCCTTGGTTGAAGTCGTTGTGTTAGATTTCTTCCTTCCTTAATGTCTGGTCGAGATTGCTCTGTTGGATCTCTTTTCTCCCTTATTATCTTCAGAATAAGTCTGTTGTGTTAGGTCTCTTCCTTCTTTGATATCTTCGATTGAAATCGTTGTGTTAGATTTCTCCTTCTCGTGATATCTCTGGTCGAGTTCGCTTTGTTAGAGCTCTTCCATCTTCGATATCTTCAGTTGAGTCCTCTTTGTTAGATCTCTTCCATCTTTGATATCTTCAGTCGAGTATGCTATGTTATGTTTCTTCCTTCTTTGATATCTTCAATTGAAAACACTTTGTTAGATTTCTTCCATCTTTGATAGCTTTGATCTCGATCGCTTTGTTAGACCTCTTTTATCTTCGATATCTTCGGCCTAGTCCACTGTGTTATGTCTCATCCTTATTTGATATCCTTGGTTGAAATTACTGTGTTAGATTTTGTCCTTCTTCTGTATTTCTGGCCGAGGTCGCTTTGTTAGATCTCATCCCTCTTCGATGTCTTCAATTGAGTCCACTTTGTTAGGTCTCTTTTTTTCTTTATTACCTTTGGTCGAAATCGCTGTGTTAGATTTCTTCCCTTCTTATCTTTGGTCGAAACTGATGAGTTATATTTCCTCCCTCCTTGATATCTGACTGAGGTCACTTTGTTAGATCTCTTCCCCCCTTCCATTTTTAATAGTTTCATTTGAGTCTGCTTTGTTAGATCTCATCCATCTATGTTATCTTTGGGTGAAATCACTGTGAGATCCCATCTTTTCCGACATCTTCGATTGAGCCCGCTTTGTTAAGTCTCTTTTTGGTTAGATATCTTCGTTAAAGTCCGTTGTAGTGGATCTTTTTCTTGAGTATCTGATTTTTCATCTTGTGTGTCTAACCTTGACCTAACATCCAAGAGATTTACCCAGATAACCACTGTAACCCAAAAAAGCAAAAAAAATAAAAGAAGAAGAAAAATACAGAAAGCCGAAAATATAATAATACTTGAAAGTTTGAAAGGCTGACACCAATCTCACCTTCAGGTTTAAGACGATTAAATAGGGGCAGCTGTCGCACCCCAAAATTTTCCCTCCTAATTATACTTTTATTTGGCTTAGGCTTAACATTGCATTCACATCTTTTCATTAAGTCATTTACATAGCATACATTCGCGTTCAATAAGGTGTCTGAGGTTCAAAAGTTTAGTGGGTGTATAAGCCAAGGGTTTCATAGTGTTTTGAGACACACATATCAAATAAAGGATTGATTCTTCAGATTCTTCTTCAAGAAGTGAAGTGTGGCATTAGGATTTTGATTCATGATTATTGAGGATCTCTTTTCATCAAGTTACATGGATTATCCTTCTCCGAAGTTCACCAAGGTCTTGAATCAGAGCTTATTTTTCTATATTTTTTAGAATATCAGGGTTTCAATTTTTGTGATTGGGTTTTGGTTAAGACATTCAGTTGAGTTTGAGTGAAATTAGGGTTGATTTGTTAATTATCGGGTTCCTGTTAATACTTTAGAGGAGAATCTTTTAAACTATGGTTCATCCTCAAGTTCTCAACTATCTTCTTCAAGATTTTCTTTAAGGCACTTGTCTTAGTATCATTGGTTACCAAGTTAAGTTGCCTTTGAGGATTGATTTACTAAAGCCCGAAGCATCATACACGATATAAAAAAAAGGGAGTCATAAAAACATGGTTATTCTCTCAATTGTTTATTGCTTGAAAATGCAAGTTTCTTGGAACTTAAGGCACCATCATCATTTCAAATATTTGTTGCTTATCAGGCAAGTTTTAGATTAGAATGTTGAATTAAAGATCCAAAGACAAAGAATTACAAGGAGATTTCATTCACTCGAAGACATTGAGAAATGGTGGTTTATTCGATTTGGTATTACATGACCCATTCAAATTAAAATTGAAGAAAGCTTTGTACACTATTGATTTTATGGGCTTAAGGTCGAGGGAGTTTGGAATTCAAAATTAAATTTAGAAGAAAATGATTTGAATATTTTAAGGGATTATCTTGGGATTTTCAAAGCATACTAGATTACAATTCCAAGTTCAAACCATCACAAGTCATTACTCGTTCTAAGGCTATTAGTATGCATAATTGCTTTTAAGTGTATATTTGTTTTAAAAAAATGAAGTGCAAATATAAGGGTTGGTTCAAGGTTGGAGCATTGAAGAAGAGATATAACTTGACGGGATTTTCATGAAGTTCCAAAGAGAAATAAGGGTTGGTTTACAAATCTTTACAAGTTTCGAATGCTAATAATCGCAAGCTGTTACAAATTATCAGAAAATTGCAAGATAAAAAAAATACATTTCTACGACCGTTGACCATTGAAATAATCAGTGACTGTGGTCTCTATTTCGGTTCCTCCAACCACTAGTCTCATATCGCTTATTCTGACCGTGACCCAAAATATATACCTTCATATTCCTCCAAAACCTGTTGCCATACTCCTCTGACCGAGATGCTTCGATAATATGCCAAGACCATTACAAGATCCTTCTCGAAACAATGTGAGCTTGCCGCCCTGTTCAAGGTGAAAAACCAGAAAATACAAGATAACCAAAATTAGAAGTAAGAGAGAATCACTTCAAAAGAAGAAGAAAATAACCAAAGAAGAAAAAGCAGGAAGAAATTCCTAAAGTCAGAAAATAATTTCCAGTTCATAAAATCAGCTCACGATATATCAAAATATGAAATTAGAAGGGAAAGGGCAATTTGAGTTGATTTTCTTCTGAAACGAAACTGAGAGGTTGGCTCACGTTGGTCCTGTGGCTGCAAACGACGCTGAATGAGAGTGAGGAAGAAATTTTTTGAGAGAAGAATAATGCGTGCATAGGAATTGAACGGTCATAAGACCTAGTGTAATAAAAACGCACCGTTCTATTTAGGGCCATTATTTTTGTTTTTTGGTAAGATTTCGGTAATACAAAAATCTGGCCATGGATTGTGTTGGTTGCTAATGGACCGAATTGTCCTGCTAGAATTAGGCCCATTACACCATGGTTTTTGGAGCCTGATTGCTTGTAACAAAAAAAAGCTGATTGGATCCTTATTTGGGTGGGCGTAGCGCCCATATTGCATCTACACTCCTGGATTCCGTCCTGCACCCCCCAAAGTCCATAACAGTTGGCTTTTGGCACACTTGAGATAGCTGGAACAAAAAGGCATGCTCCTGGATAGTTGGTGCTGGGCCTAGCGCCCATATTGCTTCTACATTCCTGGATTATTGGCTTGCACCCCCTGAGTTTATTCTTTTAGTAATTTCTTTTAAATAGTTTTGTGAATTATTTAGATTTGTTTGAACCTTTTTTTTCACATGATAAAAATAATAAAATCAATAAAATTTGTTAGATTTTTTTATTTGATTTTTAGGAATTAATTCCTGATTATCCGATTACTCGAGACTTGCGATTCACCTTTGCTTGTTGAGATTTGAGTCTTATGCATGTTTATTGTATGGCATACAGATGTGCTTGAGTTTCCGATTATGATTTATTTTAACATCAATGATGCTTTGACACTTATTCCGAGCATTTGATTTATGACTCTTTTCTATTGCTTGGTGAAGCTTGCTCGAAGTTTTATGGGTTTCTCTGCTTCGCTTGCTGCACGACGAACTCTTGTTCGTTTGGTATTTTCTCTTGTTTATCTCATTTCAGCATTTTATTGCTTTCTAGATATCATGAGAAGTAAGAAATAAAGAGTGTGCACTCGAAGTCGCTGTTTAAAGTCCTGTACCAAGCACCGCTTTCTGTATGTTATATGTGTTTGTTTAAATCCTACCTTTGAAGTAGGTATTTCGCACGTGTGTTTAAATTTGTGCTCGCATCTATTCCCCCACCCCTTATTGAAGTCCTCAAAAGGAGGCGAGCGAAAAGGGTTCGCAATCAACCCCCGTACATTCTAGTCCGTGTCATCCTTAGCTCGCGTTCTGCGCTGATGCTTCGGAGTCGTGCAGATCATGTGTATCGAGTTAGTCATATGGAAAAAGGTTTCACAATCAAATCCCCATGCTTTGTCAAGAGTTCACAATGGCCATTGTCGATACTTCACTACCCACTTGTTTGCTTCGGGTGATTCACTCCCCTTAGCTAAAGCATTTCTTTTCTTTTTTATTTCATCTGTCTCCCGCTTGTTTGCTTCGGGTGATCCGCTCCCCTTAACTAAAGCATTTCTCTAGTTTCCCCCATCCCTTTGAGTTAGTATGTGCTACTCATGTTTGTGCGCTTTTGCCAAAGCACTTGTTTGCTTATTTGTTTGGTATACCATGCTCCCTTAGAATAGGAATTTGTCTGCTTCCCTTAGGATTGCTCGATTAGAGTAGCTTTCGAGCTAGACATTAGGATAGGTATCTATGAATGCTAACATAGGGTAGAGATTTCCCTTTTATCCTCAACCTTAGGATCAATCATTGTATGATAACATTAGGGATAGATTTAAGATAGTTTCCCTTAGATATTTTTCTTTCTTTTGCATCCTTGCATTAAGACTAAAACGTTTTTCTTAGCAAATTCATAAAACATCTAACAACTTTCAAATCCTTCTTTAAGTTAAAAAACACCAACCAATGCAAACTCTTTTCGCCTTCGGGATCCTTTTCTCTTCTTTCAAACTTTTTCAAAAGAACATGTTAATTAACTTATGTGCTGACGTTTGAGTCTCCAAATGTCGAGCTGCGGCAAAAGGAGAAATTAATATTGTTCATTAAAAAATAAAAAACAAATCAAAACTTGTGAGCCGAAGTACGGCTGCTGTGATTCTTTAAAAGGAATAAGTAGGAATTGGGGTAGGGCCTGAACGAGCCCAACTTTGTTCTCCCTACATTATTTTCTCTTTTTCGTTGCATGTATTCCCTCTTTGAATTTTCATTTAGCTCTTAAGCTTATATTTGAAACACACCCTTGATTAGAACAACATGAGTGGATACCGTAGAATACCACGGGCGTGTGGGGGTGCTAATACCTTCCCCTCACATAACAGACTCCCTTACCCGATCTCTCGGTCTTTGACCTTGATTTCACCCTTCTCAGGTTTACTCGATGTTTACCTTTCCCCTTTTCATGGGATAAAAAACATTCGATGGTGACTTCATTAATTTCATCTCGGTGATTTGTTCAGTCGATTGTTTTAAGCTGGCGACTTCCCTGGGGAAAGTTTGACCAAATGCTAGTCCATCCTGAAGTCGCTTCTAGCTCTTGTTTTCTTTTCTTTGGGTATTTATTTTTATGATTTCAGTTTATTCATTTGTACATGTTTGTATGTGCATATGTTTGCATGCATTTTATCTCCTATATTGTGGATGTGCTGGTTTATATGTTCCCTTGTTGGGTGGGTGTTACTACGAGGTAAAAGTCCCAATACCCAGGCTAAGTGACAGATAATAGGAACACTGGGAATAGAGTGGAATAAAACAGATAGGGGATGTATATTACCCTAGACGGTTGTGTCGTCCATGCTCAAATGAGGTTTTGATGAGGTGCTATCATTATCACGTAGGTGTATGATGATAGTACTCTCAAGCGAACCCGTGATTTTGAGTTACCATTGGCTTTACCCAGACCTAGTCTTGACTCGTGATTAGGGCGGGAATAATCTTTATAGGTACAAATGGTGACTATGTTCTGATGGTGACTATTTTGTTCTGTTGGTGACTATGTTTCTTTGGTTCAATTTTGGACCTTTGATCCTGATATATTCAACTTGTCTAGAGATTATACAACGGTTATTCATGGTACTTGATTCCGTTGTGTTCTAAAATTAGTTCCAAACCTTTGATCCTGTGATATTCTGATTATTCAGCAGATTTATACAGCAGTTATCCAGAGGATTGTACAGTTGTTATGCTGAACTTTTGAACCTATGTTATTGCACCTTGCATCATAGCATATTTATTTTACACAAAAAAGAAACGTGAAAATTTGTTTGCATGAAAAAAGTTAACACACATGTTCGTCCTATTTCCTAGGAACCGTGCGTGTGAGCCTTATGTTGCGGCTATGTATCTTTTATTGGATTAAAATGAAAATTAAAAGCATGCGGGTTCCTTGAAAATGTTTGACATGGAATTTCATCCTCTCATTCACCTCATGCATCTTCATGCATCCATAGCAAGTACTCATAATGGGGAATCCTTATTCAGACTCAATATTTTCTTTTTAGAACTGTAAATCTTGACTTCTCACCGCTCCGTGATTGGATTTAAGATATGGAATAACTTCGTGGGGAATTAGATGAGATGAAAGAGCAGAGGGGGTTTTTGATGCTAAACATGCAGGATTTAGTTTGTGAGCAAGAACTCTTGAGGGAGGAGAACACTCAGTTGAAGGCTCAGTTGAGTTTGGTTATGGAAATTTTGGGGACAGTGTTGAGGAAAGAAGATGGTTCTATACCTGTTGCAATAGGAGTTACCATTTCTCCCTATTATCTAGAGACTATCTCAAGTAAAGGAGTATCTCCTCAACAAACTTGCATTCCAGGATCTTCCCATCAGTAACCGATTGTCATTTCCCAAGAGGAACCAAAGGGTAAAGTCCTTCAACAGAGGCCAAAATAGCCCGAACGACAATTTGATCCTATTTCAATGTTGTATGCACAATTGCTTCCTCGCTTGCTAGGATTCCATTTGGTTAAACTCTGAATCTTCACTATGCACGAAAGGCTCCCACATGTCTTTGACAACAGTGCTAGGTGTGAATTCCATTCTGGGGCACCTGGTCATGATACTGAAGATTGCATAGCTTTTAAGCACCAAGTCCAGGATTTGCTTGATGCAGGGACAATTATCTTCACTCCTGAAGGTCTGAGCATGCAAATCAATCCTATGTCAACTGCTACAGAGAATAGGGTTACGCCTTCTCCTTTTCAAAGTTCAATCTCATGACCTGGGTCACATCATCCACAACCTATACTCCCAGAAAGTTCTCACCAGTAGCGGTTTACAAGTTGTGAAAATTAGTTGCTTAATCAAAATTAGCATGCTCCTTATGTTCATCCAGTTCGGTATACTCCTCAACAGCAAACCTATCGGCTAAACCGTCAGCAACAAGGTAGGCACACTATGATAAGGCCAAGGAAAGTACATTATCCAATCCCTATGCCTCATAGTGAGTTACTCTCACACTTACTTTAACATTATTTGGTGGATTTAAAGCAACTCAGGCCTCTTCCTTTTCCTTATCCTTTGGGATATAACCCCGATGCATACTGTTAATTCCATTATGGGGCACATGGCCATACAATTGAAGGTTGTAATGTTTTCAAAGGCAAATTTCAAAAGCTCGTTGATTCCAAAGCAATTGCATTCACCCTAGAGGTCCTATGCATGAATTAAATTCTCCTTTGACTCGGTGATGTCAAGATTGCAGAGTGCATCTTCTGAAGCAACAAGGCCATACGGAGACTAGTCTCCTCAACATGGAAATTTCAAATTACATTTTCATTCTCATTTGTAATCTTTCTTGTTTTGGTTCAGTACTTTCTTGTATGCAAAACTTGCTTATTTTTGAATATTAATCATAATGCATTGAATATGTTTATCTTGAATTAATCCATTCGTATTCACTCATTAATTTTTTTCTTTGCTTTTTGATACTTAACTCTTGTTAGATAAAGCAAAATAACTCCGGAGGGAGGATGATGAGTAATATACCAAAAATTTCAAACGGTATGCTTTTGAGTAAAACCTTGTTGACGATGTACATGCCTTGTTTCAATTCCTAAACACCAAAGATATAATGGAGTGAAACCCTCATTAACCCCTTTGAGCCTTGAAGTAAGAGTTTCTTTTCTTATTAGAAAAAACCCCTACATTTAACCCGGGGTAGGGTAGATTTCAGTTAATCCGATCGAGCGTTATGAACTCATCATAAGTGTGAATCTAAGGATATAATAATAG